TGGGTTGATCCCACTGCCTTCCAGCCCAAGCAACAGAGCAAGACTCTGTCTCAAAAATAAATGACATCACATCACATCACATCACATCACATAACATAAAATACCATCCCTGTCTTAAAGGAAAAAAAAATGATACCCAGGTACTATTTTTCATCTTAGCATGTGGGCAATATATACTGTGCTCTATGTGTGCCCACATGTGTGTATACATAAACACAAACGTATGTTTAACCTCTCATTAAAAAGCCCCAACACACATCTCAAAAGAAATTCCCCAACCTACAGCATCTTCCTATGCTCACCTTCCCACTTTGCTATCACATCTAGAATTCACAGATTACCAGGCACAGAGTAGCAGCTATTGCCTTTTAAAAAAAAATCTATCAGTATGAATTACTCACTTTTTTCTAATGCTTTGTAGGAGGAAAAAAGAAATCTTTCAGAGGTCAAAAAGATTCCACTACCTAGTATGTATACTTTGCTTCCACCCAAGAGCATTATTAGAAAAAGCTGTGTTAATATCAAAAAAAGAAATATATAACTGTAGTTCATTTCACTAGAACAAGAGAAGCTATCAACACAGGGCTAAATGGCACATTATGCTTTAAGAACCTGAGATGCTGTAGAAACCAAAAATGAAGGAAAAAAATTATCAAGTGTAAAACAACCCACAACAATTATATAAGACATATAATTTATGTCTTCATTTAATAACGTATTAAGTGTGGTGCAGACTGAGAAATGATAACTTACCAGTCTTCTGAAGATGAGTGTGAGAGGCATGGAGGTTCCTTGCGGCAATGAAAGATGAACCCAAAGCACTTCTGGAGACCTAGTGCAAACATATTCATTAAAATTTGATTTTTAAAAAAGCCTTTATAAAACTGACAAGCTTAAACAAATGCAGGCTTAGTTTCATCAAATTACTGATGAAAATAGTAATTATACCTACAACATTTTGCTTAAAATTTCAAGACTATTAATCAAATGGGAAAATACCTTTTGATAAATGTGGATATCAATTATGCAGTTCCTAGTACACAGTAAACATCCTATAAAAAGCTTATTTTTAAAATACAGTCTCTATTTTAAAAAGCAACTGTTAACAAAGTCTTAAGTGTCTTTCCCTTTAAAGGCATCCAGATACTATCATTTTGACTTTAGATTTATTTCAATGGGAGTTGTAAAAATTCTAAGATAAACTGCTTCCTACAGGGAGCAAATCTCAATACATTTCCAATTTTGCTTTAAAAAATTTAAAAAAGAACAAATAGGCTGGGCATGGTAGTTCATGCCTGTAACCCCAGCAACTAGGGAGACTGAGGCAAGAGAATCGCTTCAGCCCAGGAGTTCAGGGCTGCAGTGAACTATGATTGTGCCACTGCACTCCAGCACGGACAACAGAACAAATAAACAAAAACTGTTGGTAAATAAATGCTAGAGTTAGGTTAGAAACTAAGAGTTATGGCATGTGGACTTTTTAAACTGTCTTCAACAAATCCTGCAGCAATCTGGAACCTGGACCCCTCTTTCTCCTTCCTTCAAGTTGTAATGCTGTGACTGGTCACTGTCGATTCTGAAGCTACTACCTTCTATAGGAGCTAGATGAAAATTGTTAAAAATGCTTTTTCGCCAACAGAAAACCAAGATGCTACCGGTGGTCCTGTCAGGGCAGCAAAATAGCCAGAATGTTTATGTCACCTTTCAAATTGACATTATTTTTAAGATTAAAAAATAAGCAAATATCAATACCTTTACATAGAACTCAAGAGTTATGTTCTTAACTTCAAGGGAGATAAGTAACGAAGGGCATTGACCCTTACAGGCATTTTCCAACCTTATGTTCTATTTTACTTGAATTCTCAATCACTAACAATTCCTCAAGACACTAAGTGGACAACTCAAGGACAAATTCTTTAAACATGTCAAAGTACCACAAAGCAATGTCTTCCTTCTGCCAGACTGAGACAATTTAGAAACCAGCTTCATTGTTGTCACGGTACTAACCACATGAAATGCTTCTTTGCATCCGCATGGTGCTTTCACGATCGTTTTAATATTCAGCATTAAGAGATCGCCTACTTAGGTATTCGCAAAACTACTTTCATTTATTCCTTTGCTCCGAACTGACCTCCGGGGCACAGATGAAACGCAGGGGCCTGCTGACCTTCATACAACCTCAGGTTCCCCTGACTCACTTCAACAACAGCTGACAGCAACCCTCGTACCTTCAGTGGGGCAGGACCCGAAGAATCAGCCGGGAGGACACTCCCCGTTTCGGAGCAGGCCTCGGAAAACTAGAGCGCAAGCCCTGACCTTCACTCAAGACCCCTTCTCGGGTCGCCCTTGGCCGAAGACAGGAATCCTGAGGCCCTGTTTCTGGACAACATCGAGATCACTGTCTCTCCTGTACCACTCACTCTGCCTCATCCTGCACAGGTGGCGAGCAAAACGGCCCCGCCGCCCACTCTGCCCAGCTGCAGCAGCCACGGGTGCAAGATGGCGACGCCCGCCACAGCCCCTAACGTCCTGCAGAAAGAGCTCCCGAGCCAGCGAACCACCACCCGTTGCAGTCCCACCGAGCCGCCTCCCAACGCAGGCCCTCGGTGCTCACCAGCCCCGCCCGCCGAGGGAGGGCGCGGGCCACGGCCGCAGCTACGCGCACGGACAGCATCTTCGCAGTTTATCCGCAAGCAGCTCCCCTGCAGCCGCAGCCTCGGGACTGACTGGGACAAAATGGCCGAGCGGAGAGGAAGGTCACGACAGCCGGCCCACCTGACCCGGAAGTACCGCCCCCCGCTTTCACCTCCGGACGCGAATCTGCCTTTTTGGACAGGCTACTTAATTTTTAAATATTATTTTTAAGTTTAAACCTCAAAAGGAATGATTAGATATTTGCCAACTTTGGTCCTGCCATTAGTTACACATTTACTTTGGTCTTTCCAATCGACCTTGTGGTTGCCCCGGGAGACCACGTGGGTAGTCAAACCTGCTAAGCAGCAGTTCCAAGCCCCGTCGGGTGCGAGATCATGTGGGCGTCACCCTGTCGGGGGGCGCGGCTGGCTTGAGGGTGAGGGCATTAATAGCGTCGGTGGTGTTGAACTGTGATTTAGCGCCTGTAGCAACACTGAATAGTTGTCTGCCCGAGTGGGCCATTCTCACGGCGTCTTTCGCGGAGCCAGTTAATCTTCGGGTTGTGTCCCGACCCCAACCCTCCGAGTCTAAAATTTGGGGCTATCTGAATTTTTAATGAACACTCACACAATTCCGGCTGATTGATAGCACTAAGAGAATCGCAGTTTTTTTAGATGCGATCCTGTCTGAATTAGAGCAACCTGCTTAAAAATTCGAACGATCACAAGGAATGCTAGCAGCGTGGTTGCCAGTCCTACTGAGAAGAATGGTCCAGAATCAGAAGTCTCACACCAGACCCGACTGGAGCTCAAGTTTTCCTCTGCCAGCAACTTGTTTTATGACATTGGTAACTTGACTTTTTCTTATGGAGTAAAATGGAGATGATGAAAAAACCGTTTTTATACCTATCCGATAAGATTGGGGAGGCGCTTTTTCCCTACAGAATTTTTATGATATTGAGATTTTTGTGTGTGTGAGATGCTAAGTATATTTGATAGTGGAGACTATTAATGTTCTCTTCACTTGTAACTGTTCTGAGAAGCATCTTTTAGCTCCATCTACCAAGTCTTGGCTTACACCCTAAACCTTAATTTGGGTGAGACATATGAGTATCTCAAGGTTAAAAGGGTCATCTCCTGCAACATGGCTTGCAAATGCATAGTCAGCAATCCTTTTCTCTAATATTCTACTTCCTTTTCTTTCTTTCTTTTTTTTTTTTTTTTGAGACAGAGTCTCGCTCTGTTGCCCTGGCTAGAGTGCCGTGGCATCAGCCTAGCTTACAGCAATCTCAAACTCCTGGGCTAGAGCGATCCTCCTGCCTCAGCCTCCTAAGCGGCTGGGGCTACCAGCCTATACCACTATGCCCCACTAATTTTTCTATTTTTTTGGGTCTCTCACTCAGGCTGGTCTCAAACTCCTGACCTTAAGCCATCCTCCTGTCTCGGCCTCCCATTGTGGTAGGATTACAGGTGTGAGCCACCAAGCCCGGCCCTGATCCACAATTTAATATTAAACCACACATAATAGAAAGTTGGGTACATGGGCCTTCTTTAAGCCATCTACTTTTCCTAGTAACAGTACACTATAGGAGATTGTTGGCGGCAGTGTGGAGACTGAGACACCCAATTGGAGGCATAACACATTGGTCAGGTTCCAGCTCTACTACCTAATCTTGGTCAAGTCATTTAATCCGTGTGTGAGTGTGTGTGTGTTAATGTGAAAATGGGTAAAATAATGCGTGTCTACCTATTTTACATTGTCCCCATAAGAATGAAACAAAAACATAAAAACATATAGAAAACTTTACATTCCTGTATAAATATAAAGAACCTCTCATAGTGTTAAATACAGAATGATGGAGGGAGGAGAGAACTTTAGGGAAGAAATGAATGAAAGGATGGCTGAGCTGCAGGGACAGTCTCAGCTGATCCATGCTGTTAACTATTTTAAAACATTCACATGCATATTTAGCTCCTTGATAATGGGAACTAACGGATTGTGTTAAGATTGCCGTAGTTTATACTGCCAGGGTAGAATAAAAATTTTGAGTTTGTGGAATCAATGTGGAAGAAACACAAACATCTGCTAACCAAGAACCAAACGTTTCAGGTACTTTTTTTTAAGACAAGTGATTCAAGTGAGAAATAAAAATAAATAAAGAAAAAACAGCCCGGTCCAGGCGGCTCTACTTCTCATCCTGAAGATGGGTGGAGGGCGGAGAGAGCGGGGAGGTGGCAAGGGAAGCGAGGCTTGCAATGCCGGAGCCTTCGTCCAGCCTTGTCTGAGGGCTCAGCCGCCTCGAGTCCGAGTAAAAACCACAACTCCCAGAAATCCCGGCCTCGGCGAGGGGCGGAGCCAACGGCGTGTGGGCGTGGCTTTGGGAGTGAGCGGGACGCTTGTCCCGCGAGGAGTTCTGCGGGAAGTGGCGGGAGCGGCAGCTATGGAGTCGCAGGAGGAGAAAGAAGCCCAGGTGACCAGACGAGAGCGGGGATTTCCCCCCTGGAAACTGCATCTTTGACACACCTATGTCGTGGGGGATCCTCTGCGCGCGCCACGTCTGTTTTTCCTCTCCCCTATTCCACACGTCCGTCTTTAGTGCTGCCTTCACGGTCTGCAAGCCCCCTCTGCTTAGACCCTCCTGAAAGGGGCGTTTCCTTGCCTTTCCTGCATTCCCTTGCTTGGACCCGCGCTTAGGGAGGCGTTGAGCAGCCGCTAGAACGAAACCCCTCGGAGCGGAATGGAGTGGGACTTCTGACCCACCTTCCAGCCAACCCTCACCGGTCACTGCTGATTCCTGCTATTTTCACACCTGAGCTGCTTGCGCGTCCCGCATCCCAACTCTGGGAAGATTCCCGGCACTGCGTGCTTGTGGTGTGTTAGGGACAACTCTTTTTTCAGGCCATGCACGTATATTAGTGCTTTGGCACCCGCATATTGCGCTTTAAGGTTTTTCAAGTGAGACAAATTATTAGCCTATACTTCTTTTGTAGCTTTGGGAAAGAATGGATTGTTCTCTGGTTATTTTGACTCTTGTGCTGTTCCATGTGTGTGCTCACTTTGTAAGTTTATTTCCTATCATATAATATCTCCAGGACAAGTGAGAATGTGAAGTAGGACGCCAGAATAATCATAGAAAGCATTAGAAAAGCGTAGAAAGTTTGCTTTTGATCACTTCATTATGTTCCTGTCATGCTATTACATTAAACAAGGCTTATAGTATTTGTCTTTCTTTTAATGGTTAGGTTGCCACGTGGTTAAAAAAAATATTTGGAGATCATCCCATTCCACAGTATGAGGTGAACCCACGGACCACAGAGATTTTGTATCACCTTTCAGAACGCAACAGGGTCCGGGACAGGGACGTCCACCTGGTAATAGAGGACTTGAAACAGAAAGCAAGTGAATATGAATCAGAAGGTGAGATTAAGTACAGAGTTTTCAATGAGAATAAATAAAGGTAACCAAATTTTATGACACTAAAGTATGCAAAATTGGTGTAGACTACTTGTTTTATTTCCTTATTTTGCCCGGATTTGTCTTCCACTCTGTTAAAGTAGTAACTTTCTAAATTATAAATTTCATTATAGTAAATGCTTTATTGGTACTCTGATAGCAAAACAGTAAGTCCCGAATGATAAGGGTTAAAACTTGTTTGCCTGACACACAAGATGCCCTGTGTTTTTTTACTTAGATTTCTGTTCAGTCTGTTTCCAGTCCCCATGATTTAGTCATACTGAACTATCAGGACAACTGAAGTGGCACCCAGGAAGTGTGAGAATCGTACAAATCATTCTATGTATCAGGAGCTTGCATTAGAATTTTCCGCTGGGCATATGTAGTTTGAAAAAGTGCTTTCAAGACGATTACTGTTTTTGTAATACAAACCAGGAAAGTAAAGATTGACAAAAATCTACATTTGCCCTACATGTAACCAGGCGTATGGCATATATTATGATAATATGATGTTTTAAATATAGTGCAATTTATATTTAATTCTATTGCATATGTGCTTCTTTCTAATTTCCTTTTTCAAATTAACATACAGTAAAACTGACTTTTTGGTTTTGTGTACTGTTTTAATATGAAGAGTCTAGAACCATCTCCTACAATCAGGAACCACAATCAGGATGCAGAACAGTTCTATCACTCCAAAAATATCCCCTGTGCTATTCCTTTGTAGCCACATTCTCTCATATATGAGCTTTTAAAATTGTTTTATTTTTAAATGATTTTATTTTTGTAGTTATTAAAATGCATTATAAGCCAGGCGTGATGGCTCACATCTAGAATCCCAGCACTTTGGGAGGCCCACGTGGGAGGATTTCTTGAGGCCAGGAGTTCAGGACCAGCCTGGGCAACACAGAAATACCCTATCTCTGTTCCTTAAAGGAATACTTTCTGAGGTCAGTTAGATATTTGTTTTGACTCCAGAATGGCTCCTGCTAGATGTCTTACTCCCTGGTTCTCCCCTACAAACGAGCTGATCTACAATTTAGCCTGTATCTTGACTCTATTCCCAATTCCTTTTACCACAACTTCCACTGTTTTTGAGAGGGGCCCTAGGCTTAAACCTCTCCAGGCTCTGTTGTAAGCGAAGTCAGTTTCTTTGGGAAGAAATGAGAAGCCATGTGTTTATGACTTGTTGGGGTTAGGGAAAATGTCAAGTTTCTCTCTGAGTGATACCTAGTGAGAGGGAATATAGGAGCTTTAGGTCCTCTTGGCTTGCCTCTCCTGGTGTGGAGCCACTACCTCACTAGCCAGTGCAAGAGCAGTTGGGGCCCCAGTATTCTCAGCATGTCTCACTCGAGGTAGAGCTTCCATTCCGAGAGCAATGGCTGGGTGGACATACCACTCAACCACATTCCCCTGGGACTGAGAATAAGCAACAGATAGCTCTTGGCAGGATGAGAAAAACTAAAGCTTTGCTCCTTCCAGAAAGAAAGCCCCCCAGGTAGGAACTGGAGGCAGAGGGAGCCCTGTGTTCTTCACTGCAGGAGTCTAGAGTGGAGGCTGTGCCTCAGTGAGCTGGAAGGGAGGAGGAAGGGAATAGTCTTGCTTCAAATATCACAAATTCTAAATTTCCTTACTGAGTTTTTATAGATTTTCTTGAATGATTGTTTCTTCATTTTTTTCCCTTAGGACCATTTCCAAAGACTTTAAATGGTTATTTGGTTTTTGTTCTTTTTTATAATTTTTACTAGTTTCACTGAAGAGTTCAGCAGAACTCCCACATTGTTGTGTTGAAATTGATCTCCTGGTCAATTGATTTTTGACAGGGGTGACAAGATAATTCAATGGAGAAAAAAATAGTCTTTTTAACAAATGGTGCTGGGACAACTGGATATCCACATGCACAGGAATGAAGTTGGACCCTAAATCACACCATGTATAAGAATTATCTCAAAATGAGTAAGAAGCCTAAACAATGTAAGCTCTAAACCTAAAACTCATCAGATAACATTGGTATCTATCTTTGCAACCTTGGATTTGGCATTGGTTTCTTAGATATGATACCAAAAGCACAAGGAACAAAAGAAAAAACAGGTAAATTAGATATCATCAAAATTTAAAACTTTTGTTCTGAAAGGAAACCGTCAATAAAATGAAAAGACAACAACCCCCAGAATGGGAGCAAATATTTGTAAATTATATATCTGATATGAGACTTGCATCTATAATATGTAAAGTACTCTTGTGACTCAATAATAAAAAGACAACCCAATTAAAAAATGGGTCATGGATATGAATAGACATTTCTCCCAAGAAGGTATACAAATGGCCAAAAAAGCACGGCATCATTAGCCATCAGAGAAATGCAAATCAAAACCACAGTGCCACTTCACACTCACTGGGGTGACTGTAATAAAAAAGACAAGTAATAACAACTGTTGGAAAAGATTTGGAGAACTTGGAGCCCTCATCACATCTGGTAGGAATGTAAAATCATACAGTCACTTTGGAAAACAGTCTGGTAGTTCCTAAAGTGGTTAAACATAGAACTACCATATGACCAACAATTCCACTTCTAGGTATATAACTGAGAGATGAAAACATATATCCATATTAAAACCTAACGTGAATATTTATAGCAGCATTATTCTCAATAACCAAAATGTAGAAACAACCTAAATGTCCATCAGTGGGTGAACAGATAAATAAAATGTGGTATATTCATACAATTGATTTTTTTTTTGAGACAGGGTCTCTGTCTCCTGGGGCTAGAGTACAGAGGTGTCATAGCTCACTGCAACCTCAAAACTCCTGGGCTCAAGTGATCCTCCTGCCTCAGCCTCCCGAGTGGCTGGGTCTGCAGGTGTGCACCAACACACCCGGCTAATTCTATTTTTCATAGAGACGGGGCCTTGCTCAGGCTGATCTTGAACCCCTAACCTCAAGTGATCCTCCTGCCTTGGCCTCCCAAAGTGCTGGGATTACAGATGTGAGCCATTGTACCTGGCCATATAACGGAATATTATTCAGCCATAAAAAGGAATGAAGCACTGGTACATGCTATGGCATGGACGAACCTTGAACATCATGCCAAGTGAGAGAAGCCAGTTACAAAGGACTACATATCATATGATGCCATTTATATGAAATGTCATGAATAGGCAAATGAATAGGCAAAGGAAAGTGGTTGCTAGTGCTTCATGGGTTGGGAAATTGGAAAGTGATGACTAAGGGATCTTTCGTAATGACTAGGTTTCTTTTTGGGGTGATAAAAATGTTCTAAAATGGATTGTGCTGATGGATATATTAATACAACTCTGAATATACTAAAACCATTGAGTTGTATACCTTAGGGGAGTGGATTATATGGTATGTGAGTTATATTTCAATAAAGCTGTTAAAAAATTAAAAAACAAAACACAAAGAAAACATCTTAGTCACCATGGAACTCTTTTATCTTTTTAGCCAAGCATCTTCAAGACCTTCTTATGGAGAGTGTGAATTTTTCCCCTGCCAATCTCTCTAGCACTGGTTCCAGATATCTGAATGCTTTGGTCGACAGTGCAGTGGCCCTTGAAACAAAGGATACCTCACTAACTAGGTAATTCTTGTGACAGTTTTAATTTCTGCAATCATATAAGGTCTTGACCTAAGGACTTTTTGCTTCTCTGGGTAATTCTATATAGGAAATTAACAATAAATGCAAAAGCATTGAATTTAGTTACTTCTTATCTTTGTGAGTATAATTATTATAATTTAGTAAATTTGATATAGGTTAGTTTTTAGTGTTTTCTTTTTCCAGGATTAGGTTTGTAAAGGGCAATTCTCATGTATATTTGGAAAGGGATTAGGTATCACGTTGTTCCCTGTACACAATAAGAAAAGCAGTAGGCTACATCATCTGGTTGAGCATAGTAAATTTTGGTCATACCCCTCCCTATTTGTAGAGTAGGTTAGGGACTTTCATTCTTCATAGTAGGCATTTCACCTTTAGAATGACATAATCCTTCCACCAACCCTAAGAGGAAACTGACGGTCAGGAGCAGTGGGTTAAATAACTTCTCCAAGGTAGTAAATGACAGAGCTGGGATTCAAACCCAGTCTGACTGCAGAGTTTATATGACTGTCACTATTGGCCATATCTTAGCAAGGACTAATACTGCAACTTATCATAATCAGAGAACTGCACAGCTCTTCTGCCTAATCGTCAACTTAAGGGCAATTTTTATGTATGTTGAAAGAGTAGTGTTTTAGGTGTAAGCATCCGTAGGCTGTATGGCAGAAATATAAAATGAAATCAGTTCAGTAGATACTGGTTGTGTACTAGGCAGATAAGCACTGAGGAAGCAGAGATGAATAGGATAGTAACAGCCTTCAAGGACAGTCTCTGCTCATGGTCAAATAAGGGAGATAGAGATGTAAAAGTATAACATAGTCTGACAGGTGCTTGTACAAGAATGTACAAGCTGTAGCTGGGTAGCACAGAGAAACGGGCAGTGAATTCCAGGATGAGGGTAAGTCCAGGGCCTCCTATTTCAAATTGATTTTAGGATATATTAAATCACTTTTGTTGCAATGGCAGGTTTCCTTTCTTTAAGAATAATTGGCTAAGGTTAATCTTAAAATTGTTTTGTATTCCTTGACAAATGGAACTTTGCCAGCTGATGAAAGGCATTCCAGGCAATGGGAACAGTGTGTGAAAAAATGCATAAAAGTGTGAACAGCATAGTTATATAAGAATCCACATAGAGATAAAATCATTCTTAGGAATGAGGAAAAATTATAATTGTTGTCCTTAATGTCCATTTATGTGACCAGAGTCTTCTTTTAGTTTTATCCCTGCAGTGAATGATTTGACCTCTGATCTGTTTCGTACCAAATCTAAAAATGAAGAAATCAAGGTTGAACTGGGAAAACTTGAAAAAAATCTAACTGCAACTTTAGTGTTAGAAAAATGTCTACAAGAGTAAGTAATTGAGTTGAAAATGGTGACAGTTTTTATTATAAAGGAGTAACAGGACATTGTCAAATTTAGTTTTGGCAGTAGGTATGATTTACAAACATTAGGAAATGGGATCTGTAATATGTTGTTTTCAGTACATGTTAAGTGAAGTGGGCGTTGGGTGGGTACA